GTGGTTCAAGGGAGAAGACAGACAATGTCGCGTTGAAAAGCTATCACTACCATTGGCTAAAAAAGAAAACTGGAAATTATTATAGCTATTAGCGTGTAGTTATAAAGATTTTTTTTAAAATCATAAATGTTACAAAAATACTTGGATATTTTCATAACTTCTAAACATTATCACGTTTGTGGCTAATGTTAAGAAGAAACTTTTTTCATGAAGGAGGTCAAAACTAGAACACACTAATGGAAAAATTCTTCCAAAAATCTAAATAAGTGATCTAATCTCTCAGCCTATTTTTTAAAAGATATCTGCATAAAGCAGATGCAGCAATGCAAAGCAGGATACACGAATTTAGATGTTATTAATTGCATGTGTACCCTCACGTCAATATATTTAAAAATTACAAGTAACCTCAGAGATCATTTGTGGTGAGCGGAGACCAGAATCCAGGGCTCCTAATTCTAGTTCATTACACGTCCCACATTGCTACTCCAAGGGGTCACAGAGCAGTCTTCAAACAACCCCCACAAGCCTCCCCCCATACCCGATATGGGCATAACAGAGCCAAAATAAAGCCGTGTGGACAATTCTGATTGCGATCCTCAGATGCCACCTCATCCAAAACAAACCTCATTCACTCTCTGATTTCCAAGTGACTCACAATCCACATCACACCTTTCAACATGTGACCACATTCTGCCTGGCCTCGTTGTCTGTTAGCCGCCCCCAAAACCCCAGCCCCATGAATAATAGCCTCTCCTACTCTGAAGTTCACACAACAGGCATCCTGCCTCCTGCTTTGCATCACAGGCATTTTAAAGAGACAACCCTGTGGTCTTGATTCATGGAAAACAGTCATTTACACTGTTCAAAATTCAAAACCCTAGGGAGGCAGTTTAGTAATTTAGCATTTTTGTTTCATGTGAAAATATTATTTCTAGTTCATAATGGAAAGTTCAAAAACATTGTTTCTTATCATTAAAAGCTTTCAGAACCGTGTAATCTGGGCTGTTTATAGGTATGTTCCTTTCCCTATAAAATGCCCTGAGGAACAGAATATGGGTCTTTCTACAAAGAAATACCTTCAATATCTTTCATTGTTTGAGGAAAAGCTCTTTAATTTAGAGCTGAATTAGTCACACAGATAAACACTTTAATGTCCTCGGAATCTGTGGTTAGTTTTAACAAGCTTTTAAGGTAAATTAGGAGTGTGTTTTATCATTATGTTGTGTTGACTGTGAATTAGAAGAAGAGAACACAAGGGCTCATCCATTCAAAAAATTTTTTTCATCATATTCTGTGCCCGAGTCTTCATGGAAGTTGGAGCAACACGTGGCTCTTGTCCTCAGGGATCTTACCATCAAGTGAGGGCTCCGTACAGGGCTAAATAGTGTCCCTTCCTTCCCCACTTCTCAGCCCCTCCGCAAAATTCACGTCTACCCAAAACCCCAGAATGTGCCTTTACTTAGAGTCTTTGCAGATTTAATTAAGATATAAATTAAGAAGAGGTCATACTGGATCAGGGTGAGACTTAAATCCAATCATTGGCATCCTTATAAAAAGAGAGGAAGATACACAGAGATATACACAGACCATGAGTATGTGAAGGTAGAAGCAGAGACTGGAGAGGTATAACCACAAACCGAGGAATGCCAAGGGTTGCCAAGGGTTGCCAAGTGTTGCCGGCAACAGACTAGAAGCTAGAAGCAGCTCCCTCCCTAGAGCCTCTGAGGGAGAATGGCCCTGCCAACACCTTGAGTTGGGACTTCCAGCCTCCGGAACTGTGAGAAGATAAATTTCTGCTGTTTTAAACCACTCAGTTTGAGGTAATTTGTTCCAGTAGCCCCAGCAAAGTAATATAGGTCCCATCTCCAGAAACTCTGATTTCATGGGTCTCGGGTAAACTTGGGCAACAATATTTTTATAAAAGCTCCCCAGGTGATTCTATTGTTCGAACCATCACTCTAGATTGGTGGTTTTCAAAGTCTCCATCAGCACCAGCATCCACTGGGAACTTTTAGAAATGAAAATTCTCAGGCCCCACACAGACTTCCCAAATAAAGAACTCAAGGGGTGGGGCCCAGCAATTAGCAGTTTAACAAGCTCTCCCGTGAGGTGATGTGATTTCCACGCCACTAATGTTTGAGAACCATTGTTCTGGTTGCTAGGGGAGCTAAGGAGCAACAGAAGATAATCAGCAAACAGGAATGATGCAAAGCTATAGGCAGGAATATTTTAGAAAATAAGGGAAGAATATTCATACGTTCTCCTGTATGGCACTAAGACAATACATCTGAAAACCTCAACATCATGCTTGGCGTTGCTTAGAGGTAAATATGTGTCCAAACAACCATCTTCCAAGTGCAATTTTTGAAGACAAATTGTTTTCAAATTTGCAGGGGCTGCCCTTACAATTTTGTTGCTATTTGGGCATATGGCCACCTATACCCTCTACAAAGATTGTGTCTGTCCCCACATACCAGGAGGCAGAGAAAGAGGAGGCAACCTGAACACTTGAGATGAAAAACTTCATTGAGGCCAACTTCTTTTTAGTTCAATTATTAGATAACTGGCTCCCTTTGCCACTTCTTTTACCCACAGCCCAAAGAACAAAACACGCCAATAAATTTCATTTTGGTGTGGAATTCTGCTCTTTGCCATAATCAAGCTATGTGAGGCTACAGTAAACCGCTAAGGACAGGGTAACTGGAAACTGAGTGTCTCAATGAAAAGCTTTGGTAAAATCCGCATGGCTAGCACTTGATAGAAAAGAAAATATCAGATGTTATTTTTTTTTTTCAGAGATGAATGGTTTTAGAATCCAATTTCAATATTTTTATTTGTTTGCTTGATTTTCATGCTTCTGACCTCAAGCAGAAAGTCTTCCCTGGCAACATTGGCAAGGTTCTTTCTCAAGTTGCTTTCATTGTAGCCACGTATTCAGCTCAGCTTTCTCTTATGCCTCTATGACCCTGGTAATGCATTTGCAGCTTAAGGTGCCATTTCCACAGGCATTAAGGTAAAAAAAAATATTAATTTTTCTTGTAGCTTTTTCTCCCGCTTGATCCAGATGCTACCCTGACCGGCACTGGCAAAACTATTAAGCAGACAAAGTTTGTCTTTGAGGTCTGATTCCCTCTCTTTTTGGAGTGCTCATCCCAAGTACCCAGTGCCTTCATATTCCGTGATTGCTCAGGGAACCCCATCTTGTTGGAACGGTCCCTCATTTTCAGATTTTCCTGCTCTCAGTCCTCAAAGGACATCAATTTTGTGGATTAAGACCCTGCTTTCCTGTAGTTAACAATAGTTATGATGGGTTGATGATTGTTATTTGTTAATTAGCCAAGGTTGTCTTTGCTAGATAAAGTAATATTTTAACCCACATTAAGTACAGATATCTTTTTACAAGAAGAAATGTTACCAATTAGAGAGTCAAGGTCTTGCCGCCATAGCCTGGGGGCACTTTCCTGGCATCCTTACAGAATTGCTGGAAGAGTGGTTGGTGGCCCATTGATGGCCAATCAACTTGTGTGATTGTTAAAAAAAAAAGTGCAGATTGTGTGTTCCAGCCCAGACTTTCTGAACCAGAGTCTTCTAGTGGTTGGGATTCAGGAATGTGGATTTTAACAATTCTTGTAGATGATTTTTTGATACGCTGGAGATTGATGATTTCTGGTGTCATGGGAAGAAACCTGGATTCAGAGTCAGCAGACCTGATTTTTAACCTCTTCTTCAAGATGTACCACGTGGTCAGGGGCAGTGCCACCTGTTTTGGGACTTCCCTGTGAAATGCAGATACTACTACTGGCCTTGTCCACCTTAGAGGGTAGTCACAAGGCTCAAATGAGTTAAAGCCTCCAAACTACCCTGCATGCTACAGGGCTGGCACTACAGTAAGAGGAATGGGCTACTCGTCTTGGGGCACAAAATTTAAGGGGGTGCCAAAAAACTCCATGATCATGATAAATAATATTTTACTGTGATATTTTTTAAAAAGAAATCAAAATTAATGCCAAAAATCCATAATGAACAAAAACGACAAAATTTTCAATAAAGACAGGATCAATGTTACTGATTTTTTTCTTTGGCCTTGAATTCTAATATAGTACAGCATAGCCTTGTTAGCAATGTTTATTTTAAACGATGTTTTGTTCATTGTGGATTTTTGGCATTAATTTTGATTTTTTAAAAGTATTTCCATTGAAATATTGATATTGTTGATTACTGTATGGAACTTCCTTAATTTTTACACCTGAGCTTAGTAACTTGCAGTCCTTACTGGTCTTGCCCTAGTCCCAGCCCTATAAACTGGAAGGGGTTGTGCAGATGCAGGTTGTCATTTTTACCTGGCTCTGACTCTTCCAGCTCCAGAGTTTTCTCAAATAGTTGCATGCACATCTTAAGAGGCCCTGCTGGCATCCTAGCTAAATGCTGACCATTGAATGGTGGGAACGTGGTCCTAAGAACATAAGGCAGGCACAGGCATGCGCACAGTGCTTTTCAGGGGCCTCCCTTCCCAGGGGCACAGGAGAAGAACTCTTCATTGGGCTGTCTGGTATGAGAACCAGTTTAACTCGTGTAACTGGAAAAATCTGCCCATATTTAAAGGCGAACTCCTCCTGAAGCTATATACCCATCCCAGGGAAGTTTGGATTTGCAAGTTTCCTCATCCGTAGCTTTCTATTTCAGGGGCTGTTATTATGTACCAAGGCTGGCTTCAGTCCCCTTGTATGGGAGGCAAGAATAAGTGACACCCGCCTGGATAGCGGGCGACTAGGGAGTGGAATGATACATAAGGGGCCTTAGGGTGGGGGAGAGGGGCCTGTGATGGACTGAGAAGAAAGAAGCCTCTGCTCTTCGCACTGCTTCTGGTTTCTGCCCAGCACTTGAGGGGGCGGCATAAAATCCCGGGATAAGAAAGCACAGGGCAAGGTGGGGTCAGGTGCCTGCCTCCTCTCCTCCTGCCAGCTGAAAGGTCTGGGAAAATGCCTCCACCTCTCTCATAGAACCCTAATGTTTGTGCAGTGTTTGCTGTACAGGAAGGAAAAGTAGGAGAAAGACAGTATAAAAAGGCAGAAAACTCAGCATGAGAAGCCCCGCTCAGCAGCCCAGAAGACTCCAGAACCATGAGAAAAGGCATCTGGCCTTTGCAAAGCCGCAGATAAACTTGGAGGTGCCCAACTTCAGAGCCACGACTAAGTGAACGTGGATCTGCAAGCAAGCAGATGACAGCCCCAGGAGGAAAAAAAGGTAGAAAAAATTAACTCTTTAAGTCCTTGACAGCATATACTAAAACTAGAGACCAACAATATTATGACATTCTCAACTGTGATCTTTACATCTGATATTTTCCTTTCTTGCAGTGCTTCCCTGGTCTATATGTAATGATTTTTAGAGTAAAATGTTATGCAACTTATCGCATACCTGAAAAACCTCCATGGTTGTGGTAAACTAAATAATGCGCCCCTCCACCCTCCCAAAAAATTCATGTCATAATCTCCAGAAACTGTGAACCTGTTGCCTTACATAGTAAAAGGGATTTTGCAGATGTGATTAAGGGTGTGAAGATGGGGAGGTTGCCCAGTGCAATCACAGGGATCTTTATGAGAGGGAGGCGGGAGGCCCAGGGAAGGGGGAACCGTGAATACTGAAGTGTGGGGTTGGCATGCCAGAAGAAGGAGTCTCTAGAAGCTGAAAACGGCAAGGACAATTCTCCCCTGAAGGCTTGAAAAGGAATGCAGCCCTGCTGACACCTATATTTTAGACCTCTAACTTCCAGAACTCTAAGAGAATAAATTAGCCTTGTGTTAAGCCACTAAGTTTGTGATAATTTGTTACAGTAGCAATGGGAAACTGATACGGTGGATAATGGGTTAACACTGGTCATTCTGGTTTTTAAAAAGTTGTATCTAGAGTTAACAAACAATGATCTTGTCTCGCAAGTAATTTGGTGGCAAATGTTCAAAGCTAGCAAAACATTTATTTTGTTGTGTATTTGGAGGCCCTCAAAAGTTGGTTTGAGCTGAACGTGATTTAGTAACAGGCTTCAAACTTTAACAGCACCCGAGTGAATGCTATATACAATTAGGCACTTAATATACCCTTTTTGTCCATCTTAATAGGAATAACAGCTGATTGTGGTTTATGGTGTTTCAATTTCTGCCAGAGTAAGATAATTTAGAAAGTTGGATTCCAGCTACTTGAATCATGAGATCTTATGTTTATAGCTCCATCTCAAGAAAAAAGAACTGGGCAAAGTAATGGAACAAACAGATTTAGATGACTAACTTTTCTATATGGGGACAGAATTTTTTTAAGGCACCCAGTAATACCAATGAAACTGGGTCATTTGAAGAGTTAGAATTTGAGGGACAACTTTTTGCTAAGCTAGAGGAATAACTTCATGTCAATTCCATGCTGGTTTGTGCATCTACTTGTGGCTATACGCTTTCTGTACATGATGGTTTTGCACTGACTTGTTTATGCCTTTCTATGGAGTCTGAATCCACGATGTTTATATGCACGTAGATAATTCAAATTGATAAAGCCACAGCTGTGGTTCTCGTCACCAAGTATTTGCTGACTTAGAGTGAGGCACATGTGGCCACACTTAGCATTTTGCCTTGTGGCTTCTGGCTCTCTTCTCTGGTTCGCACAAAGAGCAACTCGTTCATCTTCACAGTTACAGAGAGCCCTTGAGAAAGAACTTCACTCTATAGAGAGTTAGTGATTGTGGTGAAGATGGAGTTGCAAACAGGCCCGGGCGAATGATTTTCAGATCATTTCTGAACAAAGACCACAGGCAGAAGGATGTACTCAGTGGCTAAGGGCACAGACTAAGGGCCCAGTTTGCCAGCTTTTGCATCCCACACCGCCACTTACTAGCTGTACTTTCTTGGGCAATTATTTAACACTTGTACCTTACTTTCCTCCTCTCTAAAGTGAGGATAAATAATTGTTGTGAAGGTTGAATAAGCTAACATGCGTGAAGTGTATTCAGACAGTGCCTGGCCCATAGTATTCTTCACAAGCCCCTGACTCTTCCCACTACTCCCCTATCCCCCCGCTGTCTTCACTGTCCTACTGTCCCCACCACTGTCCAGCACTGTGAAGATTGTTCCTGCTTGCCCCACTGCCATTTGTGTGGCCCCATCAGAAGGAACTTGCTAGCAGCATATCAATAGGGATGGAAGAGTCTGCTCATACGGTACCCAGGCCTCCTGTGGTAGCTATGCTGATACGAGATACTTCTGGCTTGCTGTCTTCTAGGCACATGGTAGAATTGTATTTCTTGGACTTCTGTGTGGCCAGGCGGGTCACATGATGAGTTCTGATAGATGAGTTATGATTAGAAGCATTTACTTATTGATTCATATTCTAGTACTCTTTCCTTCAAGCTGGTCCCACAGTGAAAACAAAGCCCAGCTGAGTCCCTAGCTGATACAAGATGGACATGTAGGGTGAATGAGAAATACTTCTGTTGTAGTAAGCATCTGAGATCTGATGGTTTATTGTCACTGCAGCACAACCTTACCTACCCTGTCTGATATGACTATCATTGACTAACCTGGCAACAGAAGAGTCTCCTCACTCCTACGGTGATGCGGAACAGAGTTTACCTGTCATATCTTAATATTGCATAGCAGCAGCCTCCAAAGTAGTTACATCTCTACCATTTCTTACCCATGTGGCCCAAAGCCAGTTACTAAACCTCCCCAAGCTTCACTTTTCCCTTTTTAAAAGTGGGAGCAATCACTTCTCAGCCTTTTGGCTAAGATCAAGTGTAAAGTGGGAATATGCGGTACCTTTCTCACGCGGTTATTGATCATATGAAATAATTAATAAGTATTCAAACTTCAAATTTGGATGAAATTTCAAATGAAATAATATAAAGTATTTGTTTTAGTCCACGATCTCCTTGGTAAATGATAGTTCCTCTCACTAACACAAGGGAAATTTACAAAGTTATGAGATTCTCCAAATCAGTTTCTTAGGACTATATTATCTCTAAATGATCCAACTTTCCATTATAAGTTTGTGCTAAAAATTGGTAGATAACGTGACTGAACAGGCTAATCCATTCCAGTGGCCTATTAATCTTTCTTGCTTAAGAGTTTAGCCGTCAGTTGTCTTCTTGCTGAGAACAAAGCCAGGCTGGCTGCTTGTAAGCAAGCCCCTGTGAGAACAGACACTCCCATCTTACACTTCTCTGGCTGTCTTCTGCTGTACCTAATACTGCGCCTTGGATATATTTCTGGATTTTAATTTATTTAACTGTTTTGACTGCCTCTTGTGTTCATTTCTGCCATACTCTCCCCAGTTAGAACAACGTGATCCTTCCTCCAACACTGATGGTGTCAACTTCCATGCCTGGGCACCACGTGCCCTCATAGTGTCCGACGTGCGGTTCTGTAAGGCTGGATGGCCATGGGACAGAAATTCCTGCGCCCCGTGGGAAGTCGGTTAGTTGAGATCTCTTTCCACTGGTAACTTTATCGAGAAAGTAGGACACAAGATTATATATAAGGCATATTATCATACATGAAAACAAGGTATAGAAAATATCTACAAGGAAATATTCCAAAATGCTAGTAGCAGTTTCTCCTGGAGAGTGTGATTATGGATTCCATAGACCTGGGCAAGAGATATTTTAGAGGGCTCCACATGCCACAGTCATGCACAAATAAATGTGTTAAAGAACATGTGGGTGCCTTTAGTACTCAGGATATGACACTCAGAGATGGCCTAGCACAATCTATGACGTTTAACATCCACTCTCATGACCACACTGTTCAGGCCCCAGGGAAACACATCTCTGTATCTCCTGCCCTGTATCCTTGAAAGAAGTGACCTGCTTTGAAAGCTGAGGCAGATGGTGGATTATGATGAGGTTGCTTTGGAATGCTTGGAGGATGTGAGAGGAAGAGTGCTGGGTTAGAAGAAGAGCCAACTCTGTCAAATACCTCCCTTAAGATAACATAAATGCAATAGATTCTTTTAAAACAGTCTCATTTCTCAACAAAGCCAAGAATTTTTTTTCCTGCTTCTCTTGTTCTAATTCCTGGTTCCCGGGCTACTCAATTAGCACAATATTCAGAAAAGTTGCAAACGGTGACTTAGAAACATTTTACAATATTAACAATTCATATTATTCTTAAATTTGCTTACATGTATCATATGTGTGTCATGGAACCAATTCTTTATGTTGGTAACTAGGTGGACATAGAATGCTTACAATGTGAATAGTTTCATCCTTATAAAAATAAGATTTAGTTAAAATGTTAATATACAAAATAAAGTTTTGGCCTATATTAATTATAATTCGTATTTTACCTTTTAAAGTTAATAGATAATTTTTAACATTTTCAAAAAACTTTTGGAAACAAAATAACTTATTTTTCTATTTAATTTATAGTTCTCATAAAAATGTTTAAATTTTGTATACTTTGAATACAATTACAATTTTTAGACCCTTCAGACCATTACAATAAGTTGAAAACAAATTATGTAGATATCCTGATTATATTAATATAATAACAACAGAATTAATGATTTTGCTGAAATAAAGGCAAGAAAAATTAATTTGATGGAACAAATATACCTGTAAGTTACGTAAATATTTTATTGCTCATTCAACTATTACCAGCCGTAGGCAGAAGAGCCAGATATGTACAATAATAAATTCAGTGTACTGATATTTTGCCAGTCCTCAGACACAAGAAAACCATAGTTTTACATATACCCTTTGGTTTTGTAACCGTAAGGGTATATTTGTCAAGGTAGGAGGATAGAATATATTTTATATGCCAGTTTGTAATAAAGAGCTAAAATCCTATCCAGTGTCAGCTTCAACAGTCCCCTTGGATCTACTTGTTCATGGAGTGTTCATCTGGTCTCCCATGCCTGACAAAATATAGATTACAGTTAAGGTGAGTTGTCCCCAAATGGAAGTACCCTGACCTCGTGGCAGGACAGGAAGAAGGCAGTGTGGAGCAAGTGACTGATTCACCATGAAGAAGTGGTTTAACTAAAATAGATAACTCAGTAGCTCTAGGCCAGAGTTATAAAGTGCCATAGGAGCCAGTTCCACAGGGAGAGGGTCAGTTATGTCCCCAGACTAACATGGTACGAAAGAGTAACAGAAAGATACAGCGATGAGGGAAATTGAGCCCCACAAATTATGTCTCTTGTGGTGAGTTTCCTCAGCCCCAACACTCAGATATGTTTGAGATAAAATGTTCTTGAACTTGACAGACAGCTGAGAACACCAGTTGTCTCGAGAGCAGAGATTCTTTGGAAATGACAAGGTGGGAACACTCTCAAATGGCTTCCTTAGCATCACACTTGCAATCTCCAGCCATGAAGGCTGCCAGGAGCAGCGGGGGAAGAGCTCCTGGCCAGCCCTCCAAACACCAGGCTTCTGCTGTCGGAGGGCTCCCTGGACTACATAATGACGAGGCCTCCGCAGCCCAGGTTCAGGATGTGTTTCTTCAGGGGAACATCTAGTCACAGTACTCAAAGAAAGAAGCAGCTGGTGGCAGCCGCTGTGTGGTTCCTGCTGGGCAGGCTACAAAGCAGACAGGCCCTGCAATGCTGGGCTCCTGTGGGTTGTTAACCCTCCTTTCTCCAAGCTTAGCTGGACAAAGCCCGGCAGCAGCCAGGGCTGGGCACATGGATTTGAATCCTCTTCTGGGACCATGTGCTGGGACCATGTGTTTCCCTTGAAAGAAATTTTAAATTTTCTGGACTCCTCAGGATTCCAGATTCTTTCTAAGGGGGGCAGTGCAACCTGAGTGGATTCTCATAGAAAACACTCGACAGAATTTGGTCTGGGAAGCTGGTATTAATTAAAGGAGGAAAGGAGTATTGGATACTGAACTACTGAACACTACTCATACCTCATGAAGGATCACACATTTGAAAAAGCTGGATATATTCTACCCTCACTTGCCATACACATATACTCACTAAATATGCAGGTTCTGGTACCACAATTGTTAAAATTATTCATCACTGCCCTTAATCATCAAATACTTATTTGGATTGGTATTAACTGATCGACACATAAGTGCACATGT